TCGGCCATATTTCTCTACCGTCGTGCTCGTGCGTGCATCTATTACTGAACCACATCTCAATACCTTAGGTAGGTAATTATGATCTTATAACGTAATAGGCATAATTCCTTTTATAATGTTATTTATTATTATACTGATGTAATAGAATTGTGTGGGTTTCTATCTTACATATTTAGTAGCAGATCAGTCCTATTCTTGCCACCTTGACTTCCAACTCTTGAAATATGTGTATAACAATCTGTTGTCTAAAAACACGAGGTGCCTGCGCTTATAATTGTGTATATTGTGCAAATCCAAGAATAGTAAGATGTAATGGTTCAGGTTTATATAATTCCGTTTTGTATTTCCATTTGTAAGACTACTCGCGGGTAGGTACTTATTCCCAAAAGTAGTGATATTTTTTATCCAGTGTTGTTTCGTTAAATATAATGCGCGGATTTTATAAAGATTATTTATCAGTGTATAGTTTGGAACTTCGAATAGATGTGAAAGTGATTTCATAGAAAATGTGTGTATTAATTGTAAACATACAATATGGAATAACTTGTTGACAATAGTCACATATTATCTTTACTTATTAGGTACTATTATTTGCGCGATTACACGCAAGTTAATCAAAAGAAGGAAATTTATAAACTTATTTCTTAAATATCTTTCAATTGAATTAAATATTTTAGAAAAAGTAATTGGTCATGAGTGTGGATTTCAAATAAATTATTTATATATTTCAAATATATTTAATTTTTCTCAAACCATATTTACATTTATTATTTGTATGTTTTTCATACATTGTAATGACAATATTGGTGTACAAGTTGTAAAACTAAGTAATGCCTTATTTATGGTGTCATATTTTATTATTATATTTTAAAGTTTATTTAACCTGTTTCATAATGTATGTAGCTTGACATTTCCTTTATGAATATTCTGGAAACAATCCCTGTTATTCAAATTGAAATATTTTATTTTTGTTTTATATAAAATAATGTTCCATAATTATGTTTTCATGAATTCATGAAGTTATTTTTTAAGTTCGTATTTTTTATTATGGTTAAATTATTAATGTGATAAGATGTTGCTATTTACATAACAAATAGTTTGATAGTAAGATATGTTATGAATACTACAATAATGTATGTGCTTTTTTTATTCAGTGGAATTGGGACTATGTGTCCTATAAGATTTATGTGTATTTTATCAAATCTTTTTTATATATCTTAATACTTTTATTATCTTTATATATCTTCCTTTATTATATTCTCTGCCGACTTCAAAAAGCAGACGGTACTCAATTCGACAGTATGTTTTTTTTATGTGTGTTACCTCATGACTTTTTACTGGGTGAACCGATTTCGATGATTCCATTTTTATTTGAAGCTGGTACTTCAATTGTGGTCCCATATGAATTTGATCAAGGTCAGACCAATAGTTTTTGAGTTATTCTTAATAATTTATACTGAAGTTGATGTACAAATTTTTAATTTTAAATTATCTTGTAACTGGAAAAACTATCAAGACGGCAAACATTAAATTCTGTTTGATACTTGACATCTGTATGTCATTTGAGGTATTTTGTTTACTTATTACACCTCTTTCCCCCTATACCTCTATTGTAACAGAACTCAAATGTTTCTAGTACTGATTGTCACCGATCACTTATGAAATGTCATTTTACAGTTCAAATGTCACAGATGCTTTAGAACGGGACAGAATTTTGCATCCCCATAGCTTTCCTCAGGGACACCAGGGTGTAGTACCAATATGTTCATGTTATGTATGTAACTTACATTATACTGTGTATAGTATCAAAAATTAACCTGATCAGAATTTTCAAAGAGCAAAAAATAATTAGTCACCTGTATTTTATGTATAATTAGTGATCAAAGAAAGTGCTCAGTCTTCATCATTGGATATAACTAAATACCAGACCAGCACTGTGTTTTCAGTACCTCTTTTGGGAATTGTTTGCCAGTAAAAAAAAAAAAACTATCAGCATTGGTTTTCATTATGATAATATTGTATATGGAAGACATTGGCATGTATTCAATATAGACACAACACACCAAAAACAAACTTCAAATGACATAACAGTCAATCAAAACTCCCACTAAAGTTACACAAAAACACTTCAATCTATTTTTTAATAGTTTTATCATAAATATATTGGAAATACTAAATTAACAAAACATTTACTGTTACCAAAGCAATTATTCAACTTGGTCAACTTTTCTTAAAATGCAGTTTAGGAAACTTTAATCAAAAGTATAAACTTAGCTTGTCCATGCAATATAATTTCACCACAGATATTAACCTTTACAATAATCTAATGGTGAAATGTGCAAGCTCCAATCCTACAATGTGTTTATAATTATTATTATAATGTTTTGTTCTTTAATATTCTAGGCCAAACAGCTTCACATCTGGGCAAAAATTAATTAATTTAGTACAGTAGTTACATATATTTTTTATAAGGCTTTGAGTACTTTTCTGCCTACTGCCTGCCAAAAAAGGAGACGGTACTCAATTCGACTGTATGTTTTTTCTGAACTTTTTACTGGGTGAAACAATTTCGATGATTATTTTTTTATTTGAAAGCTAGTACTTCTCGTGTGGTCCTATATGAATTTGATCAAGGTCAGACCAATAGTTTTTAGAGTTATTCTTAATAACTTATGTTGAAGTTGGCTATACAAAATTCTTAATTTTAAATTATTAATCAAGAAGTTCAAAGCTTTGGTCCAAAAAAATCTGATCACAGTATTTTTACAGAAAATGATTACTTTGTGATTATTTAATACTTTTTTTTATAATTAAAATAAAAAGACATATATAATGTATATTTATATGTTGTGTATGAAGCTGTGTAGCGGCAGTGAAAGAATATCCATTGGGGCAATAGGAGGACTAGGAGATAGACAACAACATCTTCCTGATAACAGACTGTTGTTGTTAACCCGCCCGTCAAGTAAAATCTCTAAAATCTATGAGGCAATTTATGTCGGAGTCCTATGAAAAACTAAAATAATTATGTGACATACAATAATGTATGTATTTATTATTAAAAATAAATAATAACCAAAATCATATCTAATTTATAAAACAAATCTGTTTTACCTCATGAACATATAAAATATAAATTAGGTTCTCTATGTCCTGCCAATAGGCATACAGAATATAAAATTATTAAGTGCAACATTAATTATTTTTTCTTTTGATGTGAGGTTCTAATTTTATTAAAATAATGTATAATATGATAAATTAATAGAATAAATTTAAAGATAATATAGGTGTAGTGTGTAGCGTACATACAATACTTGTCAACATTTACTTTTATTATCATCTAGTATTAATATTATATAATTTATTAATTGGCTAGAATTGCCAGGTTCTCTGTTAGAACTGAAAGATCACATATATAGGTGTGAAACTTTCTACTAATGCCAAGTAGTGTTAATAAAATTCAAACTGAGCAAAGCTTGTTAGTCCAGGTATGAGTATATAATATAATAAAAAGGATATAAAGTATATATACATATATCTTTTGAGTAAATAAATTGTTTTGTTAATATTTAAAGTATACAAATATGTTAGCCACATAATAATAAATTTTTTCTTGATTTTTACCACTTGATATGTTTTTGAATTAATGTTTTGACTCATAACATTCTAATTTTGTTGAAAGTACTGCTGCTTTGCCAGGCGAATATTATTATTGTTTTTAGCATTCTTACTGTCATGCATGAAAGTTGTTAATTCGAAGGTTATTCTCTTCTCACACCTTTCATGATTTTCCACACATAAGATATGTGTGAATGAAAATAATAAAATCTTAGTTACATTATATTTATTTAGCCTTGTGGCGGCACTCTACTGCGAAAGTAGGACTATTATGATTTTAGTTTTAAGTTTGTTTTTATTATAATAAATATATATTATTATGAACAAATTGCTATAAATATAAAAAAAGATTTCTTATATATTATAATCTTTAAGTGTACTGTTGTATTTATTTGTGTTGTTAAAGTTTGCTTTGTGATGCTCAAAGAATATGTAAAATTGGCCTCGCGAATTTAAATATTATGATGTACAGCAGTAGCGAAGGAATTGAAAATGTTTTACACAATTTTTATTGGTCTATATAAATGTAAATAGAATATTGTAGATCGTTTTTTTTATAGGACAAGGGTGACAAACGAGCACACAGTCCAACTGATAGTAAGTGGTTGCTGTGGCCCATAGATTTATCCTCGATTACGAATCAAAATGCAGATGTGTTGTCACCCGTGAGGACTAAGATGGAATACCTCGTTTCCAGTAAAAAGGGTCTCCGGATCTCTACACTCACCATACGAAACACAGCAGTATTAAGCTGCTATTTTACGCTGGTATTCTGTGAGAGCGGGGTCCTTCCCCAGTCGAGCCGACCCATTCGTGTTACAACTATACCAGAAATATAGCTACAGCATGGCTCTCCCACATTTAAAAATAGATAGATAGTTTGTAAATTTTGATGTATATATATATACCAGAAATATAGCTACAGCATGGCTCTCCCACATATAAAAATAGATAGATAGTTTGTAAATTTTGATGTATATATATATAGCTACATTTCTGGTATATATATATATATATATATATATATATATATATATATATATATATATATACCAGCATACAACTTTTAAACTTTCTTTACTTTATTTTGTACCATCTGGCTATATATTACAATAGAAATACATATATATATATATATATATATATATATATATTTCTATTTTTCTATTGTAATTTAATTAGCCAGATGGTACAAAATAAAGTAAAGAAAGTTTAAAAGTTGTACATTCATAATTTTATCATGTACTTTCATTTAAATTTTTCATTCTCAAATTTTCAGCGTAATTACGTTGTTGTAAATAGATATTTTAGTTGTTTGTTTTATTTCAGTTGCTGCTGCCTTCAGATCAGTGTTTTTTTAACCATCAAAATCAAACAGCACAATGGGTGATCGCAATAATCCCATCAAGTTTGGGCCTGAATGGCTGCGTAATTTGGCACGTGAAGGTAATGCTGGTGGTTCTGTGAACAACGGTCCAAACCCTACAAACTCTGGAATTTCACCTAGTTCTGGCTCTACTGGATCCATCCAAGGGTCCACAATTCCTACTGGTACTATGAGTCTTCCAGGGCCTCCTGGAGCCGTGGGAGTTATGGGCAGTCCAGGAGGCACTGCAGCACAAGGAGCTGCTGGTGGCTCCACATCATCTAATGTTAATGCAGCAGCAGGAGGGAATTCTAGAAATTCCACAAACAACAATGGGTCAAAAGTGCTGTTGGCAAAGTTACGGTAAGTAATTTTAATCACGAAAAAACAACAATTTTACAATTTACTAAGTTGCATAGTTCCATTTTTGCCTGAATGTCCATCTGAGTATGTCCTACTCATTTTTCTACCAGTAATAACAGCGCTGGATTGTTAGTTCACACATCACTTTAATATTCTAAAAAATCAACTTTCTTCCCTTGTATGGAATGTGTGGTCTTGAAATCTGAATAGAAATGATAAAATATTGACTAGTGAATGAATAAAATGTTACATAATATTTTTATTTAAAAACTGGTTTAATGAGTTTATTATGTACATATATAACAATAAATAATAGCTTAAAATGTGTTTATTATTTTTATGTCAGTATGTACACTTTACAACACTGAAGTTGCTAAAAAACTGTACAAAAAATAATTGTAAAATAGGTATCGCGTGAATAATAATAATGTCATCAAGGTGATATTATAATATTTATATACATTTCTTAAGTGACCTGTGTAAGACAGGATTTTTGCATGATAATTCGCTCTGCAGGCAAAACTTAGCGTGTCATTTATGTCTGCAGTTTTTCTGATCTATTAGGGAGGTCTTTGTGCAGCAGTCTACTTGTAACACTGGAGGGGCTGCTAAAGTGGGACCTTTAACTTGAAACAAAATTATAGTATTCTTTATTTTTTAGGTACGGAAGAGAAGAGATGTTGGCTTTATATGACAGATCAGCAGAAGCACCCGAAGAGTTAAAATACTTTGATTTGCTATACCAACCAAGGGGGAAACCTCCTGTAGCTTTGAACAATACATTTGAGGAAGAAATGGTTATTATGATCATTTATTACTTTTGTATTTTAAAGAGAGAGGGAGTGGTGGCAAGTCCAATGTACACTTTATATTGAGAACTTAAGTGAGCATGGGGAGACTAGTGCAAAATCATTATAGTATCACTGTTTTATAGAAAAAGGTCAAAGCAGGACAATAATAACTGCTGAGCAATGCGCCTGTTTAGCATTGCCAGAAAACTGTATGCAAAGGTGTTGTTTGAAATTTGTGAAAGAAACTGACAGAAAGATTAAAAAGGTATGTGCAAGCAGGATTTAGAAAGGGGATGTGATGTACGGATCCGGTGTTTTCTATGCGCATAATCACTGAGCAGTCTTTTTTTCACTAACCAGTAAGTTTTCTGTGCATTTTTATACGTAGAAAGGATTTCGGCAAAGTGGGCAAGTTTGCTTTATGGCAAACGCTGGCTTCGTTTTTGACTGAGTGTTGGGCTGATACAAGCATTACAATCTTTACAGGGACTAGTGCTTGTGTCAAGATCAACTGGGCCTAAACAGACTAGTTTAGTATCCTTAAAAGTATCAGACAAGGTTGTCTGGCTTCCCGGTGGCTGTTCAATGTGTTTATTGACAGTCGTTTGGAAGCTTTGAAAGTCGAAGAATATGGGTTAAGATTGTGTGAGAGATAACAGTTAAATGCCCCTTCTCAGCCTACAATCAAGTCATATATGAGTCATCGACTGATGAGTTGTAAATTATGTTACATTAATGAGTTGAATGTAAATTCAAGAAAAACAACTTCCTTCTGCGTGAATCCCATATCTCTGGTGCCCTTTGACCTACAGGACCCAAATTCAAACTCGACCGAGCTACTACCTCAAGGTATCCACATACCAAATTTAAAGTCAATTGGTCCAGTGGAACGGAAGTCATCGTGTCGGCATACAGACTAACAGACTGCCAGCTAAAACCATTAACTTCCTTTCAATGCTACGCAGAAGGAAGTTAATAAATAGGTCATTATTAGAAAGGGGAATGAATGTGAACACAAGAAGACGAAAGTGATGGTTTTTGATAGAGAAGAAACTAAAGCTGTATGTGACATACTTAAGAATAGAAGGCGAATCGCGACAAAACACGTTAATATTCATATCATCTGGATGCTTAGTGGTCCACTACTGTGCGATTTACTAGGAGTTTTCCTCCTAGCACTACTTTTTTTTTTGGAATTGTTTACCACCGGGGACTTAGGGATCTTCAAGAAACGAGCTTACTTCTTAAAGGCCTGCAACGTCCATGCAATCCCATGGTGTTGCGATTGTTCATGGGTGGCAGTCAACTTTTAGCATCAGGTGAGCCGCATGCTCTTTTGCCCCTTCTATAAAAAGCAAGCTTATGTATCTGGGATGTGGGATGTCTACCGTCTCTGCTTACATAAAAGGATATAGAACAACAAGTGAATGCAGGACATAGAGTAAATGGGACTCTTCACTCTGTTGTGGAAAGTCAAAATATGTCATAAAGATCACATGGCACAATTCATAACATAGTGAAAGTTGGGTGTGACAGAAGAACATGAGAGTAGAAATAATGCAGTATAAAATGAGGTAATTAAACAGTATTTTAGGGATGGTTCGGTTCTTTAGACACAGAAAGAATGAATGGGGAAATAGTGGCAAGGGATGGAAATTTATCGACCAAATTGACAATATATTGAAGATGTGGCAGTGAGCCAAATTAGGAGTATCCCTAACCCACGAGGATATATGTAAAGATATTTGGATATGAAAGAAGTGAGGTAGATGTTTTTTATGTGGTAGAGCCATGCAGCAGCTATATTAGTAGTATAGTTGGTGCAAATGGCTCTCAGAACACCAGCGTAAAATAGTAGCGCAACGCTGCTATTTTATATGGTTAGTATAAAGAACCGGAGACCCATTTTACTGGAAACAAGGCATTCCATCTTAGCCCTCACGGGTGACAACACATCGGCATTTTGAGTCGCAATCGAGAATAGATGTATATGGCTATGGGCTGGAAGCCCATAGTATTTCATTAACTTGTTAGAGCCATGCTGCAGCTATATTTTTACTGCAGCACAAGTGGGCTGGCTCAACTCGGGGAGGACCATACTCTCACAACATACCAGTTTAATTTAGAATTTAAGTCAATTTTATGGGTTATTTAATAATTAGCCACCACATCACGACAGACCAAATCGCACCCACATATCTACCTATTTGTAATTATATTTGAGTGATAAACAAGCTAACAAATGGTCAAAGCTACTTCAGTCCGTGAACACCACCAATCTTACTTCATTATATAATTATATAAATATATATATATATGATGTAATCTAATTGAAAGCATGATAGAAACAATATATTTATAGGCTGCAAGGCATTTTCATCATCATATTATATACATCAGTGGAAACACTGCATAAATAAGCAAGATGGTGGCTGATGCGAGAGGGTACTCAGACAGACTCCTAAGAAGAAGAACATCTGCTTAGTATTTAGTTATTGTAGTTAAATTTCTTGAATTATATACCTTTTTTCAAAACAAAAGGTTTTGGGGTACTAACTAATATAAATTTTAAATTTTAACTCTTATTGCAATTTTATATTCTGTAAATTGACAGTTCAATAAATATTAATTAAAAATACTTTATACAGCGGGACAATATCCGTGGAGGTCCACCTATTGGAGCTATGGCACCAGCAGAAAGATTTGGTCTAGGTCGCGGAATGGGTCGTGGCGGTGCCAATGAGAATCGTGGACGTACTCGCATGCCATTTGTCCGTCAAACATCATCAGGGAGGTAAGATTTATAAATGACATAATTTTTTTCATCATTATTACAGCCCCTCACAAGTCCGCAGCTGAACATAGGCCTTCCACATAGATTGCTACAAAGCACAGTCCTGAGCCACTTATATCCATCACCTATTTGTTTTCTGCCGACTTACAAAAAGGAGATGGTACTCAATTAAACTGTATGTTTTTTTATTAGTGTTACCTCATAACGTTTTACTGCGTGAACCGATTTCGGTGATTCTTTTTTTATTTGAAAGCTGGTACTTCTCGTATGGTCCCATATGAATTTGACCAAGGTCAGACCATTAGTTTTTGAGTTATTCTTAATAAATTATATTGAAGTCGGCGGTAGAAAATTTTTAATTTTAAACTATATCAGGTTGTTAAGCTGTGTAGTAATTTTACAGTTTAATATTATTAGTATGAATAAAGTCACAAAATATTTACAAAAGGAGTATACACTAGGGACAACAAACAAGTTATTTTTATTTACAGTTTGTCTTACTATGCCCTCATTATAAATTTACTACTTCCCCAAATTAATTTTTGGTGCTGATTTTGCTCTTGGATTCAAAACATTATAATGTGGAAGAAAGCATTATTTGTTGTATTTATTGTGTATATTATAAATTGAAGTTGTTAGTTTCATAACATTTTCATAATATCATGAATACCATTGAAACTAAGGCACTTTGCCTCCCGTATCACGATCCTTTATTAAACTTTACTACCAAAGGCTGCTCAGATGAAAGATAATTTTTTCGTTTTATTTTATTCATATGACTTACCAACAGTCAAAATAAGGTACGTTGGGGTAATACCGGACGGATTTTCGAATAGTTGGAAGAGTCTGCCAAAAACTTTAATTTCTCGACATTCGTATACGTCAGATTTATGGAACATGGAGCAAACCGTTAATCGTTAAACGTAGTTTAGCTCTGAGAATATTTTGCTTGTGTAAACTCAACGGTTTTCGCACACCTTTAAAGCATAAAGGTGTGCGAAAACTAGACATAGTTTTTTATATGCATAATGAAAAATTGGCCATTAAGGGGTAAGACCGGACTTAAATTTAAAACCACTTCTACTGCTTAGAGAAAAAAGTTTATAAAAGAGATTTGTCCTATCTTTAACGCTCAAAAACATATTTCAATATGATCTATAAATTACTAGAAACATAAATGTTCCAAACGATTTTCTCTTTTTTTGATTCTTGCCATCCGATCTTATCCCTGATATAAAGAAATTGTAATTTTATGTTTCTCAAACTTTGTTATGACATAAGATGGAATTACTCAATATAAGAGAAAGATCGGATGCATTTGATTTTATATGGGAAAAAAAATAACAGTAAGGACTGGCGAAATGCCCTGGGATAATGCAGGAGTTAAGGAAGATATAAATATTTTAACAAAGCGGCATTTATTATTATAAATTATTTTTTAAATAATTATTATAAATTACATTTTGATTTGTAATAGAGGATAGATATAGATGTCTATGGGCCGCAGCAATCACTTAACATCAGGTGGACTGTGTGCTCCTTTGTCACCCTTATCCTATAAATAAAATGTATTTTAATGTGTACTTAAAAGTAATAAAACCATCATATTGTTTTATTACTTTTAAATATACAGACTTGCTAACGAGACTGAGTCCCATAGTCACTTGAGTAATCAACGAAAAAATATACACGACCAATGAAAGTTTAACAACCACTGCCATATTTGTAACAGGCAAAGATCGGATAATATTCATCCGATCTTCACTCACGAGGGGAAACATCGGATCTCGGCCTACAGCGATCTTACCCCTGCATGGACCAGCTTTATTTAGCTATAACTTCATAAAAATTAGTATCCACACAAAATAATAACAAAAGAAGCCATATTCTCGCTAAAAATCGTAAATAAAAGTGATAGGGAAAGATCGGATGGACAAAAATAATACAAAAATTACATTGTTTTATAAAATGCCACGCAGCACAGGTCCCACTTGCCGGAGTGACTGGCGCGAACTAAGGGTCGGGGCAGGATGAAATGGCATCGTGTAGCATATTGTTAGCTTTTCAAAATATAGCATAATTCGCCGGGAATTTGAATCCTACGGTCTTGCCCCATCACCGATCTTACCCCAACGTACCTTACACAATGACAGTAATAAATAACAGAAAAGTTTCTTAACCTAAATGTAGTGACTACTTATTAATAAACATAGCATGGACTATAGCAATAACTTAAGTAGGTTTTGATCTAGTTAAATACAATCTACATCAAATCATTCATATGCCAAGGCCGTAAAAAAATGGTCATAGTCCTCTATCCATTTATTAGTTCGTAGCAGTGCAACCCTAAGATATACATGACTGTAACAAACCTTCTAAACTACAAATACCCTAAACTATCCTGAGGGTCGCCTATGTAAATTAAGAGTACCATGATTGAAACTGTAGGCCTACACTAACTAAAAACGTAAAGCCCGGGCACGTGTTTGAAGAGATACCAACCAGGTGCCTGGGCCAGTCGGGATCAAATCCAGTCAGAAAGAGAGGTTATGGCTGAGCGTGTGAATCTCACACTACAGGCAGTACGAATGGCGCGATGCCAATCTCGTGACATTTAACGCCTCCAAAACAGCAAAGGAGTGGAATAATTTGCCGGCGTCTATCTTTCCGTCCGAATACAATCTGGGCGTCTTCAAGGCAAGAGTTAAGCTTTTGTTATGCTAAGACAGTGCGTTTTACCATCTAGGGCAGCATCCCCACTTACCACCAGGTGGGGTTGTGGTCAAGCACTGGCTTATAATAAGTTAAAAAAAAAGCTATAGTAGTTAGTAATGTATAAGTCGTTTTCTTCAAAAATGTTTGTTTTTTACTGTTTACAATAATCTTAAGTTGTAAATGTAGCTAGTTTTAGGTCATTTTCTATAGAGTTGTAACGAAATTTTTACTAATTCAAATGCATTTTACCCACCGACACATTGTACCCACTAGAAAAATCATATAAATAGGCTATGATTCCTTGGGTCATGATGAATGGGTCATGATGAATGGGTCATGATTTCCTGCTTATGCACGACAATCACTGTTCACATATGGCCAGGGTGGTAACAGCCCGGTTGCACGAACATGATGTCACGGCCCTAGAATGGCCAGCACAATCCCCAGTTTTAAATCTTATTGAGCATGCTTGTGATATGCTCGAAGGAAGAACTCTGAGGGAGTTACTGGTTTTAGAAGAACAACTTTTTATGCATGCTTTTTATGCAGGATATTGACAATCTCATTCTGAGTATGCCCAATAGATGCAGATGCATTTGGAATGTCATGGGGCTTTGACTGATTATTAACTCTTATTTAATAACCACCCATAGAACGCTTTTAGTTCACTTAATTTTTTAATTTAAAAATTGGACTTTCATGAGGTACAGTACAGTACTTGGGTATTTTGCCTCAAATCTGATTCAGATTTAAATCTGAAATCTCATTTAACGTCAATGTTGATGTAAAAAAAATGGTATATTATTAAAAAAAAAGTTTTCTTGGCTTTAAAATATTAACATACTCTTTGGAGTTCATGTGTTGTTAAAATATCCAAAAAATCGAAATTGAATAGAAAAACTGCTGTGCCCTACCTCCAATATTTTTAAAAGAGCTATCCAACAACACTACACCATGAATAAGATGGGTAAAAAAAATCATACCCCCTTAACCTGTATGGGAGGTAACCTAAAATATAAATGTTTCTTTAAGATTTTATTACATAATTTTATAGTCATGATTAATATATATGACGTTGCCATTTTAAAGCTCTGTACAGACGGACGGACTTGGCGAAACTAAAAAGGGTCCCTGTTGTTTAACTATGGGTCCCTGAAATGAGTTTAATTATAATAAAAACCTATGATAATACAATAGTACTTTTTCTCTTAATTTTTTTTTAAATCTGTCTGTTGAGTTACCTACAACAAATGACAAACTGGAGTTAAAACGCTATCAGTATGTTAAGTGTCAAAGGTTTCAAGTTTTATAATAGGTTGGGAAAAAAGTTTTTTCGTATTTTGTTTGAATAGCTTTTTTACTGTTTGTATAGGCTGCTGTATATGTGCAGTCATTAAGAAAAATAAAAAGTAAAAAGTATTTACCCGCCATTTTTCAATTGTTTTTCTGTCCGACGAAATGAGTGAATCTAACGAAGAAATTCGATGGATTCTGAAGTTTTATTACAAAGAAGGGAAAAATGTGACTCAAACTGCGAAAAAAATTTGTGATGTTTATGGACAGAATGCAGTGTCAGTAAGACAAAGTGGATCACATACGACAATAACGCGCGAAAAAGATCATGGTCAAATGGTAGTCCAGCTCCACAGACTGTAGCGAACACATAATAAGGTGATGCTGTGTGTGGTGGGATTGGAAGAGCATAATTTATTAATTAGCTTATAAGGTAAACCGTCGCACAAAACCATCGAATCGGATCTCTATTGCCTGCAACTAATGAGGCTCAAGCAAGCAATTGAAAAAGAAAACGGCCGGAATTATTCAACAGAAAAGGAGTGGCCTTTCATCATGATAAAGCCAGACCATACACATGTTGGGCCACTCAATGGTCTGCGGATATCGAACATTGGCGCGCGCTCCAGCCGCGCGAAATGAATACCAAATTGTTCGTTGGAATGCTCAAACGTGGAGCGGACCGATCCATCTTGTGTCGGTTTTTTTCCGCGCATGAAAGTAGTTAAGTTTTGGCGCGCGCGCCAGTTGTGACGGTTGTTTTCATCATTCGTGTGTTCGTTGCATTCCGAGCTATGGATATTAAGTCAGTTTCGGATATATAACACTCTGTCTTACACCTCTCTGCAGTTGGATAGGTTTCGTACTCTAGTTCTGTACTCGGAAATCGATCGTAGCCCTACAAACACTTCAGCACTTCGATATACCGGCAGTCAATCAAAGGCTTTCTCATAGTCCCCACATACGCCAGACATAGTGGAAAATTGTACTCC